ACCTAATACTCTACCCGACCCAACCTCCACCGCCGCCGTGAAATCCGACCACCGTAGCAACACTCCCCACCACCACCCAACTCAGACTCCTGCCCCATCCCGTCCTCGGCGCCGGCTTCAATCCCAAAACAACAGCTAATTAGCAGCAAATTAAAGCTTTGAAATTAATCGATTGAATCGAAAGTATATATACCTACTGCGAGAGAAGGTGTAGTGATGAGAAGGAGCAGCATCATCCCGAATTTCTTCACGCCATAATGAACATCCATCTAATGACACTACGTACTAGCAATTGATATTTAGCTTAATTAAGATTATATATATAATCTGATGTTTAGCTCTTCTTAATTCTCTTCTGAGTAGGTGCTGATCAGGGTATTATATATATGGCTTAGCCTCTTCCCTTCCACCATTGAAGCAAGGAGATTTCACTTGTTAATCTCCAACCACAACGACAAAGATCGAGAAAGAAAGAAAGAAATCATAATTCGTTAAGTTAATCTTATTTTGTGGAAGATTAACACAAGTCGACCTGCCGCCTTGGCCATTTTTCGAAATTACCTTGTGAGTAGCGGCGCGGAGGAGGGATTGAAGCCGCCGTCGGTGGAGGTTGGGTCGGGTAGAGTATTAGGTTTTTTATTTTATTTTTTATTTTTTAATGAATGTAATAGTGAGGTGGAAAATATAAAATTTATTTTTTTATTTTTAATAATTTTTTAGTTGCCACGTCACTAAGTTAACGGTCAACTTTGAGAGTTGATTGCCACATCAGCCAAAGTTAACGGAGAGTGACCAAACGTGAACGGTTTGAGTAAACTGAAGTACCACCAATGGATTTAAATATTTCGAGTGACCAAACTTGAACGTTTTTTGTAATTTTAGTGACCAACCATGCAATTAACCCCCCTTTTAAGTAAGAAAAGAGTTACAAAATTATTAACAATAACGTAAAAATTGATAATATTTTGATACGAAAGATTTGGCTAATTATATAATTTCAATAGGTTTGGAGAATATAAAAAAATATGAAAAATGTTTGGATAAAAAATAGACATTACCTTATATATTATTTCATATTAAAAAAACTTGCATCACTTATTGTTCTTAAAAGTATTTCTTCATATAACTAAATTACCATATTTAATGAAGTAGGAAAACAATACTTTTTATACTGACTCAATGAATTAAAATGAGTTCGAGTGACACCTAGGGCTACAAATGAGCTGAGTAGAGTCGAGTTTTACCCCAACTAGAGCTTGACTCGTTAATAAACGAGTGAGCTCGGGCTCGAGCAGTTTATTAACGAGCCGAGTCGAGTTCGAGCTAGGCTTGTTTACTAAAATTTTAACTCGTATACGATACTTCGTTTTGAATGTCATGTATGATACATGTGATTGATGATGTCATGATGACAAATAAATAATAATAGTCAAATGTACAATATGAACTAAATCATATTATACTTTGTTTGGTATCATATTATGTAGTTAATAAATTTTAACTAGTCCAAATCATGTTATTTCACAATGCTGAAGCAATCTATGATATAAAATTACTTTTTAAAATAAAAAATAATATATATTTGCTCACATACTCAACATTTTAAACTTCATATATGGTGAGATATATAATTTAACAATCATATCAATTAAAATCATAAGATATAGATCGGTTTGCCAATAAATCGGTAATCGAGTTGGCTCTCTAGCCACAATGTGAGTAAGGCTGTTAATGAACCGAGTCGAGCCGAGCTTTGCCATAGTTCGGGCTCGGCTCGTTAATATATTTCCAGGCTCGAGCTCGGCTCGTGTTCGTCACTAGCTTTAATATGCAAGCTCGAGTTCGGCTCGTTTATGAAAATGAAAGCTCGAGCTCGGCTCGAATTCGGCTCGTCAAATAAGCTTAACGAGCCCAAAATCGAGTTCACCTCATAAAATGTTCATGATAGCTCAAGATTGACCTAGAACAGCGCACAAAATTACATTCAAACCAGTAGCAAAGTCTAGCAAAGTAAAACACAATATTTATCTCAATTTCAATACATAAAATCCATGAATTCTAATCCTTTTTTTTATGCCAAACCATTAAATGAGCTTGTTCGCGAGCTTTCGAGCTGAATATGGAATGGCTCGAATTTGGCTTGTTTAGTTAACGAGCTTGTTCGCGAGCCGGCTCGATTAAAATGAATCGAGTGTCGAACGAGTTTTTCTCGAGTCGCACACCGAGCCGTTCATGAGCGGCTTGGTTCATTAACAGCCCTAAATGTGAGGCATCTCATGAGCTCTAAATGAGTCATCTCACGAGTTTAGCTCAACAAGTCACCTAATCGAGCTAGCTCGCGAGCTTCATAAGTTGAACAAAGATTAACGAGCTGAGTTTTGAACGAGCTTTTCCCGAGTTAAGCACCAAGCCGCTCGCGAGCAGCTCGGTTCATTTGCATAGACACCACTAATAACTAGGGGTGAGCATTGATAACTTAGTGAAAGATAACTTAGGACCAAAGACCGGACCAATAGTGTATTGATCCGTTTGGTCCGCTTTGGTCCAAATGTAAATTCGATTCATTTTTCTTCAGTATTTATAAAATTCATGGGACCAAAGACCTGCCCATATTTTATTCGATTCGGTGTGTCCAATTCAAACATCGATTCGGTCGTGTGTGATTCGGTGTTGACCAACTCATTGCCCACCCCTACTAATAACTCACTAATAGGACGATCGCATTAGTTGTTTTTAATTGTTTAACACTTTAACTGTACAAAATTATACACCAACCCGTCTGGCCCAAGTTTATTGCTCCACAAGATGGGCAGAAGTGAAAAGCCCAATAAGTCTATTAAAGCCCGATCCGATGTATGTCGGGCACGGGTCACCGGAGCGGAAACCGGATACACCCGGTCGCTTGCTTGCATTGCATGAGTCGGAGCCTCGTTCGTTGTCTCTAGGTGGCTGGTGGGGAGTAAAATGGAAAACGAGATCCGGAGTGGAAGGGTGGTCATCTCGATTGCGCGTTGACCTCCAAACCACCGGATCCTCCCATCCCACCGCTCAAATGCCGCCACGTACGCAACAAGCAAGCAAGCAATTTTACGACAAATTGAAAGGAGACAGTGCGTAAATTACATCTACAGTCACTGCACCTCAGCATTTTTCTGAAAGGAGGTCAGTCTATTTTTTGTTTGTTTGTTTGGGGTAGACGGGTAGTGCCCGAGTATGAAAACCCCTACAACCCACTACCATTATAACATACTATTGTATCTATGTCGATAATTTTGTTAGCTTGTTTTGACTGGTTATCCGACTCAAAAGTGTGATAATGATTTTCCTTACAATTGTTATGTTTATGCAGTGAATTTTTTGAAGTTTATGCATAGAGTTTACCGATCTAAAAAAGTAAAAGGAGTACAAGGCTTGCTTTAATTCATACTGCTTTTATTCGTCGTAAATTTTTTCATCCATTCTGCTCCTTATTTGTTTGCTTGATACCTGTAGATATAAGTACCCAGAACATTAGTGTGTAATAAATTTGTTTCTCATTTTGTGACAAAAATAGTTAATGTACACAATAAAACCACTTTGAGATGTTATATGATACTTAATCGAATAGCTAAATATCTTGGTGGAAGCACATTACACACCACTTAATCGGAGGACGTGAATATGTCGTTCAAAACCAACACATTGTTTATATAGTGGTAGGGGTGGGATTCGGTCGGTAAACAATTTACCGTTTACCGCAATGCAGTCAAAAGCGCGATTCTACCTAGAAGCGATTGGGTGACCTAGAAGCGTAAAATCGTAAGCTTTTAAGTTTTAAATCGTAGATTTTGACTCCATTTGTAAAGGAAGATCACGATTCTACGTAGAAACGTTTTGGTTACCTAAAAAGGTAAAAGCATAAGCTTTTAAGTTTTAAAACGCGATTCTGACTGCATTGGTTTACCGAATTTACCGGTTTCGGTATATCGAAGTTGGCCAAACTGGTTACCGATTACCGATACCGGTTTGTAACCGGTTTACCGATTACCGAATTACCGGTAAACGGTAACAAACCGGTATTACCGAAATACCGTGAGAAGCGATTTCGGGCGATTTTTTCGGTCGGTTTACCGAATATTTACCGAACCGAATCTCTGGAAGTGGGGTGATGTTGTAATATTTCGATTTTTTTGAGTTTTTTTCATCATTTTAGTAATTAATAATTTATTATTAACTCTTATTTACAATATTTTTGAGGCCTATACTTACATTCATGTATGTAATATTTTATATTAACTCTTATTTACAATATTTTTGAGGCGCAACACTAGGGAGTAGGGAGAGGGGATTCGGTATCGGTAATACCGATTTACCGTCGGTATTTACCGATACCGTTTTCGGTAAACCGACTCCCCCAACTTCCCGCTCGGCTACCGATACCGCCGGTAAACGGTTTACCGTTTACCGCCGGTTACCGGTTCGGTAAAACGGTAAACCGTTTACCGGATTACCGTTTACCACCCCTATATAGTGGTATATCCTGCAATACACAAGATAATAATTTTGAGGTGGTCGGCTAAAATCTAATATATTTTTTATTGTCTCTTCTCCTATCCTTCAATGTACAAGTAGTGTAGGTTTTATCTATTGGAAAATGAATGAATATAGTTTCTAAAAGTTGGAAATCGTAACAAGTCATTTCAATTTCATATACGAAACATAGATTATCGTGTGATCGCATGAATATGTCCTGAATTGAAGTTATTATGATGTTAACGGATAGGAACCAGAAGTTTGGTCACCGTGAGCGTAATTTACCTGGAAGAACATAGCGTCGGTGAGACGGTGACACAGTCGTACTACCTGACCCGTAGGTGACCCATCATAAACCCCTCGCCCACCGGCTAACGTTTAGACCGGCGACCCATCTCCATCCTCTTTTTACCATTTTAATTTTAGCTCTCATTTATTTATTTACTCACTTATAATAATAATAATAATAATAATCTGCCTTCGAAAAGACTCAAAATTCCCCTCTTCGTGTTTTCGTTCGTTACTAATAAAGCGAGCAAAAACACAACAAACCTCACTCTCTCGCTCTCGTCTTCGCTCTATCCTCTCCCTCACTTCCCCGTCTCCCTCTGATTCAAATCGCGATCTCTCCTGCGGGGGTGGTAGCGGTGGCGGAAAGCGTCGGCAGCATTGAGTGTGATTGTGTTGTGACTGAGCTGTTGTAAATGGCGGGGAAGAAGATGGTGGCGCTTCTCTTCGTCGCCGTCTTGGTCGTCTTCGGAGCGGATCAGGTTAGATCTGACGCCTCCGATCACCGATACAAAGATGGGGATCAGGTGCCTCTCTATGCCAACAAGGTTGGCCCGTTTCACAACCCGAGGTGAGCAAGGACTTGTTTCTCTTGATCTCTCGCGTCCATTTTCTAGGGCTTTATTTGTTTGGATTTGTTGTTTTCTTGCCCGGATCCAATTGAGTTTCGGGATGCGCAATTTTCTGTTCAATTATCCGTTGTGGTCGAATCGCTCGTTCATTTCGTCAGTTTTTGAGTCTCAATTGTTAGAAATTGGGAGTGTTGGATGAAAATTTTGCTTCCATTTTGTTGCGTTCGTACAATGTCGAGAAATGCGAGTGTGGTAAGAGTTCTGGATCTGGTTGGCCGATGTGAGTTCTTGCCGTTGAAATCTTTCTTCCGTGAAGGTTGTCAGCTGTTCTGAAATGTAACTGTTAATTAATGGCGGATCTGGATAGATCGTAATTTGGAATAATAACATCCTTCTAACAGTTTCTGTTTCTTATGTAACAACATAAGAAATAGAGTGTCCAGGTTAATCAAGCTGTTTAGTACAACAATTAGATTAGGCGAGGATTAGTTTGATGGATTGGCATTTCTTATCTTTGATAATTGATACACGGGTTATTAAAATTCTATCGTTTCTTGTCTCATTTCAGTGAAACATACCGTTATTTCGACCTTCCATTCTGTTTCCCAGGTTTGCATCTGGACTACTTATTTCAGTCTCGCTGTGTTTTATTTGATTCATGGATGTTGAAATTTATTAACTTCATTGCATGGTTGGGTCGTGTTGGCAGCACATATGAAAGAGAAAAAGGAGGCTCTTGGCGAGGTACTTAATGGGGATCGGCTAGTTAGTGCCCCATACCAGCTTGATTTCCTTCGTGAGAAGGACTCGGAAGTTGTTTGCAAGAAAAGGCTTTCAAAGGAAGAAGTGGGTCAGTTTAGAGCTGCTGTTAAGAAAGATTACTACTTCCAGATGTATTATGATGATTTACCCATCTGGGGTTTCATAGGCAAGGTTGATAAGGAAGGCAAAGACCCCAGTGACTTTAAGTATTACCTTTTCAAGCACATTCACTTTGATATCTTCTACAACAAGGACCGGGTGATCGAAATTAATGTCCGAACTGATCCAAATGCTCTTGTGGATGTCACTGAGGACAAAGAAGTCGATGTTGAATTTTTATATACCGTCAAGTGGAAGGATACCAACACTCCTTTCGATAAGAGGATGGACAAGTACTCTCAGTCTTCTTCATTGCCTCACCATTTGGAGATCCATTGGTTCTCAATCATCAACTCATGTGTGACAGTTCTACTTCTTACTGGCTTTTTGGCTACAATTCTCATGCGAGTGCTGAAGAATGATTTTGTCAAGTAATGCCCGCTCCATTTTTCCAAGTCATTTACGAATCAAGTTTATGTTACCATTTAATTGTTCATTTCGTTTCATGTATTGACTATGCATATCCTTGAATGTAGGTATGCCCATGATGAAGAATCTGCTGAAGACCAGGAAGAGACAGGCTGGAAGTATATTCACGGAGATGTGTTTAGATATCCAAAATACAAGTCCCTATTTGCAGCATCCCTTGGTTCTGGAACCCAATTATTCACTCTGTAAGTGAGATATTGAATTGCTTTCACCCTTGGCCTGGTTCCTATGTGCCAAAGGTTCTTGGGAGATTTGTATGATCTTCTGCCCCCATTCCAATTTTCTTTGTCTCTCTCACTTTTTCTAACCTGAGTATTAACTGAATGCAGGACTGTGTTCATCTTCATACTTGCATTGGTTGGGGTGTTTTACCCATACAACCGGGGTGCCTTGTTCACTGCATTGGTTGTCATCTATGCTCTAACATCAGGAATTGCTGGATACACTGCCACTTCCTTTTACTGTCAGCTTGAAGGAACTAACTGGGTAAAGTTTTTTTCATACACCATCATTGGGTTTGTAGAAATATTTGATTTGGTTAGGAGCGTCTAATTCCTTGCTCTACCACACAGGTTAGGAATCTGTTGTTGACTGGGTGCCTCTTCTGCGGACCACTTTTCCTCACCTTCTGCTTCCTTAACACTGTTGCGATTGTCTACACTGCCACTGCTGCACTTCCTTTTGGAACGATTGTTGTGATAGTTCTCATATGGACACTCGTGACTTCTCCTTTGCTTGTTTTGGGTGGAATTGCTGGCAAAAACAGCAAGGCTGAGTTCCAAGCTCCTTGCCGTACTACTAAATACCCCAGGGAGATTCCACCGTTGCCATGGTACAGGGGAGCCATTCCGCAGATGGCAATGGCTGGATTTCTGCCATTCAGTGCTATCTACATCGAGCTCTACTATATCTTCGCCAGTGTCTGGGGTCACAGGATTTATACCATCTACAGCATCCTGTTCATCGTCTTCATTATTCTCCTGATTGTCACTGCTTTCATTACTGTGGCATTGACCTACTTCCAACTTGCTGCTGAGGATCATGAATGGTGGTGGAGGTATGCAGTTTGTAAACTTATCCACCGCCCTTCCTTTATGTGATGCAAACATATATTTTTTTTCTTTCGTTTTAGTCTCCTAGAATTGGGAAACGATGGAGAAATCAAAATTGAATATGTTCTGATACTTTCTTAGTTCTTAAGGTAATTCTGACCTGTGATGCATTGCGGTATTAGAGGTTTGACGTGCTTCCAAGTTCACCTTTAGGGTTAGTCTGTGCAGACAAAGAGACGATGCTCTTTATCTCTCTGTCTCAACAATTTTGTGCATAATTGGTTGTTGAAAACCGTTTGAGTCGTGACTTTTAAGCGACACGCCTTAAGAGAACAAACATAATAATTAAGATGCATGACTGCACCATTAAATGAAGTTGCCATTATCGCTCCAAGTAACCACATGGGATAACTCTCCCTGAGTTTCTTCCCAGGTCTCAGAGACCCGTTTGTTCACAGTTGCCTTGGTTCTGAGTATTATTTGTTCTTTATCTGGCGACAGGTCGTTTCTATGTGGTGGTTCAACTGGGCTATTCATCTATGCCTACTGCCTCTACTACTACTATGCACGCTCCGACATGTCTGGCTTCATGCAAACATCGTTCTTCTTTGGTTACATGGCTTGCATCTGCTATGGTTTCTTCCTCATGCTTGGAACTGTAGGATTCCGTGCTGCCCTACTTTTCGTCCGTCACATCTACCGATCCATCAAGTGCGAGTAGAGAGTGCAGGAAGAAGGTTAGTCGTTGATGTTTGACAACAAGTAAGAGCATGAAGGGTTCATTAGGTAATGTCTGTCTGTCCTACTCTTTTCTTGTTCATTGAAAGGGGATCGCAATATGTAGAGAGGTTTTTCTTCTTCTTTGGTTCTCAAATGATTTTATTTTTGTAGTCGCTCTTTGTACGAAGAAAGCGGAAAGAGCAGATTCATTCGAATGTCTCTGCTGTCTAGAGAATATGGTTTTAGGTTAAAAAGTATCATCATCATCATCTTTGGTTACTCTTGCCCAGAAAGTTTGTATCATCATATCGCTTTTTATCTGGACGCACCCAACAATACAATTTTCTCCCCTTTGTGTCCTTCTGCTTGCCATTTCTTCCGGAATGATATGTTGTAGAAATGATTCTTGCTTGGCATTTTAGCATCCGCCTTTGGTTGTTGATGGTGAACTTTTATCGCGGCGAGGGTGACTTGTTCCACAAGTCATTACTAGATGCAGTAGAATTACGTCTGCATGGTTAAATTCCTTCTTGTGAGTTGTGAGTGTGTGTAACATGTGGCAGTCAGCTTGGCTTTCTATTCTGCTTTTCAGCACCATTGCTAGACATCCCTCTTTGTAGAAAAGCACAATGCGAAAGCTGATGGCTGTACATTGCGAAGGATTCTTTGATAAAAAGGTTATGAAGCGATGATATAAAGAGGCTAACAACACTCAGCTTTTTTTGCCGAGTAGTGAGTGGGGAATTAGTCACCATTCACCAGCTAGTGCCAACAGTTCAGAATTAATAAGTGGGTTTCAGTTCTTGGCCATATGACATACGTAGGAGTGATTCAAGTCTGTTTAGTTGATGAGATACGGTATATTTTTTGAAATGTGGAATCTTAGACCAGGTGCGAGATCATATCGCCCTTCGCTAGGTACGTGTCACATGCTCGAGCAAGGTCTTTGCACCCTGGATAGGCAATATGATGCTGTTACGAAGAGATGATTGAGCAGGCCAGGGTGATGTACCCGACAGTTCCTCATGATACTCCTTGGTTGTTTCTGCTTGTTACAACTTGGCCGAAATGGATGTTTGTCCCCAGACACTTCAGCAGTTTAACCGTATACAGTAACCCTGCTGGAATGGAATGACCGTTCTTACGTGTTGCATCCCTTTTGGTAGAAAGGTTACGAAACGATATAAAGCTAATAATACTCTGCTTTCTTCCCCAAGTTGATAGAGTGGGAAATTAGTCACCAGCCAATTGCTTTCTCCCCAACTAATCTTCTCCAACTTTGCTAGCCTTTTGGAATTTAGGATTGGTATTTGGTAGTGACATTTGGGGTGCGTTAGCATTGGGACAAGTCATTTTCTGCTCAGTTATCGTGTATTGGATTTCCAGCATGATCAACACTCGAGGGGGACATTGGGATAAAAAAGAGAGATCCTATCAACGTGTTCCGATCTAGGGTAATAAACTCGTGAGCTTGTTCTTACTTCACCATCAAGAAACGAAAGAAGACGTCCATTGACAAGTTAAACTCATGCGTAGCTCCTTGATCTTTGTGAATTGGTAGAGTTAGCTACATATACTGCTATATACTATGCACAAAACGTTTAGATTTTCTCTTCGATATCACTCAAAAAGGGAGGGACGTTAAAGCTAATTAAGCCCAGAGAGCAAGGATGGACATAGAGGCAGAGCCAAGAACAAGGGCAACAAAAGAAGTCTTCTTCAGGCGTGGAGTGGAGCTCATGAGCTTGTTATGGAAAAAATCAAGCGCGATGAGATCGACGAGACCCATATAGACGAGGATGCCAGAAGAGAGCGAGCCCAGTAGTCCTTCCATGATCAAGGCATTAGGGTTGGTGTCGTCGTAGCCTGTTAGCCAGAAAATGATCATCCCTAACAATATCCCCATCGGCGTCGTAACCGCGAACATCACGCACATATAGGCCACCGTCCTCAGCCTGAAACCAGCCTGCAATGCCAACACGCACAACAATAACAAGTGATCAGTGAGTGATTAATGAACAGAAAAAGGAAGAAGAGAATTATCATTGCAATTGCGTATAGGGATGAGAAACAATACGGTCTTTTCCAGATCGAGAAGTTGAGCATAGATCAGGAATCAGATCAAAAGACTACATGTTTCGAACTGAACAATATTTGTGCTGGCTGGTGCGGTATAGTCTAGACCATGCATCCTCATTGAGCGAAAAATGAATGGTTTATTTAGTCAGCCACACGAAAAAAATCCAATCAATAACTGATAAAACTTGAATCTCGTTAAGGAGTTGGGAGAGTGGTCGAGTGACCTGCTAACACGAATTGAGAAGTGAGTTCAATCCACGATTTGATCTGGTAAACCGTAATCTAGACCACACCATACCTAAAAATCAACACATCATATAACAAAGATCATTGATCAGACCAAACTATTCTTAAATGTCTACAATCCGAACCAAACTGTACCGTTCAATTTGTTCTAGTCTATTGTCCCAACACTAATTGCGTCCTCTCCTCAAGCGTGGTCAAAATGAAAAGTCCGAGTAGAATCTTCCGGCCCGCTCAGGCTCAACCCAGTGGGCCCAAAGTATTCAATATCCACGATATGACTAAAAGAAAAAGGGGAAAAAGGATAAAGAAGAAACCACGTCATAGTTCAGATATCATCGGATTGCTTTGCTTGTCTATTGAATTCTGTTCTCTTTTTAGTTCAATGATTTGTATGGTATGAATCCCACTCAAAACAGTGTTAGTGTGCCAATCGCCATACATAACTCCCCAGCCTCAGCTCCTAATCACGTCACAGGGCTTATTAATTAAATAACCACCAACAAAGCCAATAAACTAAACCTAACTCTAATCAAGCATGAACTAATTAACGACTAAGGAAAAATTAATCCATCTGCACGATTTGTTATGCGAAATAAACGGCGGTGCGAGAAGTGTGATAACTTTAACCGAATGGCAGGGGAAAAGCAGAGAGAGAGAGAGAGAGAGAGAGAGGGGGTTGGAAAATTGGGGGAAGCGCGCACCTGAGCAATGCAGCCGCCGAGCCCCATGCCTTCGAAGATCTGGTGGAAGGAGAGCGCCGCCACCAGAGGCTTAATCGTGCACCGATTCTGCGACGTCCCCATCGTCACTCCGATTATCACCGAGTGGAAGATTATCCCGATCTCCAGCACCTGAGACACCAATCTCTGTTTCACCTTCGCCATCAATTCCTCCTCCTCCTCCCTCGCCCCCCTCGATTCCTCCTCCTCCCCCTCCCCCGATTCCAGCCTCAATAGCCCCCTCGATTGCTTCCCCAAATCGCCTCCCCCCGCCTCGCCGGCGACAGGCTCGTACTCTCCTCCTCCTCCTCCTCCGTGGCCGTGGCCGATGTGCTCGGTGGCGGTGATGTCGACGAAGAGAGCCAGGAGGCAGCCGATCAGCGTCACCAGCCCGGCGAACGGGAAGTCCTTCCACGGATGCCGCGACGAGACGGCGCAATCGGCGAGCGACGCGTAGGCCTCGGGGAGGACGTGGACCAAGGAGGTGGAGAGGATGACGCCGGCCGCGAAGCACTTGATTACGAGTACCGCCTTGTCGTAGAGCGGCTTCCCGCGGAAGAGCTGCGCGAGGAGGACGGGGCCGGCGATTCCGACCGCGCTGGTGAGGAAGATGACGAAGATTGAGGCCAGCTTGAGGTGCGCCGCGGCGGTGGTGTCCCGGCAGATGAGGTTCCTCGCCGCTGCGGCCGCGTCGAGGGTGCAGCTTGCGGCGGTGGGGGAAGCCATGGGAGCGTGGACTGGACTGTAGTAAGTTCTAGAGAATTGGAAATTGGAAATTGGTGGGGGAAGTTTCGGGAGGAAGTGGATTTTTGGAGGGGGAGAGTTGTGGCCGATTCTAACACCGTTAGGGGAGATGAAGACGAAAAATGGCACAGGGGATGGAGGCTGGATTGACTCTCTGCTTTGAATTTGATCCACCTCATGTGTTGTATGAAAATATATTAAAGCGTGCTGACGAGTGGATAGTGGATTGTCTATTGCATGACAATGGCGAGTGAAGGGGTGGAAAAGAAGGTATTCACACACTAGTAAGTGATTGGATGACTGTTCCAATCTTATTCGGTCATTATGGTCGCATGAGTACCGGTTGATTCTAATAAATTAAATTATTCGGAAAGTTTTAATCGCCGATTATATATTATTTATTAATATATTTTAAATTGATTGGACTTGCTATGAAATGATACAAGTGACTATGGTAAACAAGAGAGGGTATGCTGGTTCAAGCAGTAGTTTGATTTTAATATTTCGAGTTATGAATTGTTGAAAGAGTTTTAATTAATGGGTTTTTACCATTTATTAATATGTAACTTTATATGAAAGTCATTCATTTGAGATTGAAATTTGCTGAGTCCTAAATAGGGCTGACGGTTCGGTTCGGGTCGGGTAACCGAACCCGAAACCCGTGAAAACCGAAAAAACCGAAACCGCCCCCTCACAAACCGAAATCGAACCCGAAATGACCTCCTGCGGGTTTCGGGTACTGGAACCCGAAATTGATGTTGGCGGGTTTGGTTCGGTTCGGGTGAAACCGAAACCGAACCGGCTTGAGATTTTTTTTTTTTTTGTGATTTGAATTTTACATTGTACAAAACAATTTTATTCTTATTATTTGTACATTCTTATTTTACCATTATGTTTAATTTTATGGGACATGGACAGTATAACTATAGACATACTATTAATTTTATGGGACATGGACAGTATAACTATAGACATACCATTATTATTAAAATATTAGTTAATTATTGAAATATTTAATTTTATGTATTCTATAACTATAGACATACTATTAACTATTAAATAGTATTAGTATTTTAGAGACAAAGTAGAATACTTAAACATATTTTATACGTAACTTAATCATATCTTATTTAATTGTGGATTTTCGTATAATTAAATGTTTTAGTAATAGCATAGGTCCAAAATTGAAGGTATATCAACTATCATATGCAAAAAAATGTTTGGTGTTTGGCGCAAAATTATAAATAATTTTGTTCAACATAAAATACGACGAGGAACAGAATAACAGGGGAAGGATTTGATGGCAGTCTGGCGGCGAGGCGACGGATTTGATGGCAGTCTGGCGGCCAGCGACGGATTTGATGGCAGTCTGGCGGCGAGGACGATGATGGCGGCGCGGCGAGGAGGCTCTGTTTCGTCTCGCTCTGTTTCGGCACGAGGTGGAATGGAACCAAGCGAAAGAGACAGCGACGACAGCAGGTGAAGGGCTGAAGCCTGAAGGGCGGGTAGGGTTTCTACTTGCTATCAAAAAAGCAAAACGGCGGCGTGTGCTCACTGATGCTATCGGGTTTTGAGGGTTTTCGGTTTTGCGGGTTTTGGTAAACCGAAACCGCTGCAGTGTGTGTCGGGTTGAACCCGAAAAAACCGAAACCGGCACTGTAATATATCGGTTCGGGTTCGGGTTAAACCGAAAATCCGAAACCGAATTGACAGGCCTAGTCCTAAATTCTATGTGGTTAGCAAGTGGAGGTTGGTGGGAACCAAACGTAAGACCTCTAGATTATTGAAGGTTTTGATTCAATGTCAAGAACTAATTGATCCTAGTGAGTTAAGTTGTCGTAAGAGGTTCAATATATGAATATTGAACCATTAGGTAGGTTTTGATGGTTATATTGGGAAGAAGACAAACTTGCAAGAACCAAATCAAGCATGTTTATTCGTAGCTTGGTTTCAAGGATAGAGCTCAGCGGAATTAAACATGCATACAACTAATAAAACAATATAATAAGATGGTGTTTAAGTATGGTGAGACTGGTTGGGTTTGGTTGACCACAACTAGAAAACGGATAGAACGATTATTTGTTAGCTATGTATTGTATGTGTATTTTAATGGAAGATTTTGTAAACCACAACCCTCAATAAGAGAGAGGTTCTATTTGAAATAATAGCGATATTTTCCCCTTTTGGTGAGAATATAACACATTGTTTTCACTTCATAATTTTTGTCTTCTTTTTATTTCATCTCAATTTTCTTATATGAACTTTAGAATTGTGAACCTAAATTGAGATTGAAATTTACATGATGGTTATCCCAAAGTCAGCTCCTAATAATACATGGAGAAGATCTCCTATACCTACATATATTTATACAATTGAATCCCATAAGCTACTTAACAAATCAAAATAAAGCAAAGTTCGAATCCAAATTCTAACCAACGCAAGATATATGTTTTAATTTCTAAGTAAGCAGCATCAACTACGTCCTTCTATTGGTTTTCTCTTCATCCACTTGTGAAACCCTCTTCTTGTGCACGGGTTGCTTGGACTTCATGATCTATAAGTCCATTATTCCTCCCTCCTCTTCTTGTCCTCTTCTTGCCGTAACACTAGTTCAACAAAAAAAAAAAAAAAAAACCAAATACGGAATATGAAAAATCACATATTTGAAAAAAAACCCAGGGAGATGAGGAGGGAGGGTCGGTGACCTTGTAGAATTTGATGATGCGGAATTGAAATAACACAAAAGACACGAGATTTTTACGCGGTATCTTCGATCGATTGATCGAGACTAATCCACGGTGAGTTCATAAGAGCTCACGGCTGATCTCTTATTAGGATTACATCTTGACGGCTTGCTTACGACAATCTCGTAGCTAAGCTTATATAGAGAAAGACTTAGGGTTAAAACCCTAACCCAACAAATAAGACGAGGCCCAACAAGGCCCAATACTAACACGGTTTAAGTAACCGCAACACTCCCCCTCAAGCGAAGACATGAATGACAAGAATGTCAAGCTTGAAGAAGTAAATGTGAAGAACAAGCATGATGGCTTGAACCACAAAACTCGAGATGAATAACATCTCAGACGAGGTTGATTGGAGACGACTGACTCTCTCTGAACAACCTGATGATAGAGACGATTGACTGCGTCTCTTGAACTGGAACACACTTGGTACATCATGGTCGACCTGATGACTGAATTAGTCGACCGACGTATGTTGACCTCCTATTCTCCCCCTCAAGCCGAGCATGAACATCGTGAATGGCCGACTTGAAAAGCGATGAATGGTTGATATGTGCCCACTAATAAACCGGAAGAGGGGACGACCATTTCTTGGATCGTGAATGCCAGCGGGACGATGAAGGGACGATTACTTCTTTGACCGTACTACCTTTTGAACGCCAGGGGACGACCATTTAATGGATCGTGAATGCCTCGACCTGATAACTTGGAAATTTTGTTGGCAGGAGCTGTTCTTTCTTCCCAGCACTAATTATTTGAAGAGATTACCACTTCCGGTCATGATTGCCTTAAATGCCATGACTGTGATGTTGGTAAAGATTTACTTGCTACCTGACCTTGATAATGATGACTTGGTCGCAAGGAGGACTAGACTTTTTGACCAAATACCAAAGACTGCAGCGGCCTTCGACTGAACTCTGCGGCTGCCTTCGACTCGGACACTGGGACTGATTACGCCAGAGGCGGTGATGTTGACGAAGGGACGGAGGCTTGACTACTTGTGATGATGGACTTGTTGGAAATCCCTTTAATTTCAAAGCTCCAACACAGACACAAGATTTGACAACATAACTCGGTTGACCTAATGGACTCCCACCAACCTGTCTCCAAATATAATTAACCAACCAAGGAAAGGTTTGTTCTTTCTAGAAAGACACGGAGAACCAATTCCTCTCCTGTAAACTGCTCCCGTAAGAAAACTTGCGGGCCTGATTAGAAGTCAAACAAAACACTTAATCACTCGGCCCAAATCATGAAAGCTAACCTTAAGGAGGCCCATTGCGTTGAGATTTCGAATTGCTGTTGGCCCCCTTACTACTACAACTGTGACAAGCTGAGCGGCAGGCAGCAACAAAGGACTGACAATGGCAAGGAGCGACGACGACTGACGGGAGACAAAGGTAGAGTGATGAGGTCATCAAAGCCAAACACACTCAAGTTGAAGGACCAATAACTCGAGCTAGGGCTAAGGCTTTTCGGGATCAAATTGCAAGCTATTTGGCTAAGGAGTTGGAGGGCTTAAGCTTGGATTTGCTAGAAGGAAAGTCCATCACACTATTGAGCTATGTGGATCACGAAATTGGGCTCAAAGGGAGGGAAGGAGGGTCGGCCATGGAGAAGGAGTCTCAAGGTGTGAATGGAATCAACAATGGATAAAGATCATGGTGTGAACACAAGGTGTGAATGGAATCATTAATGGATAAGGATCAAGGTGTGAACACAAGGAGGAAGCCACCATTCAAGGCTAGATTCTAGGAGGAAGTTTGACTAAGTCTTTTCCTTGTTTGTTAAGGTTTTTGTTTTCCTTGTTTGTTAAGGTTTTTGTTTTCCTTTTTCAAGTAGGATTTGGTGTTCCTTAGTTGTTTTGTGTTTAGATTCGTGGGTCTATAAATAGGAGTCCAACCAATGTATTTTTCATTCAAGTTTCAGCAATCAAATACAAGTGTTTACAAGTTCAAGTGAACGTTTTGCTTATTCGCTCCTTTGAGGATTCAGGAGGTTTGAGTGGCCTCTTATCAACTAGAGAATGCGTCTAGTTGTGGCGAGCATCGACGATATCGGTTGGCCTCTTCCACGGGTTCGAGGTTGTTTGGAAGGTTTCATATACCTTCTGGCCCTTCTCACGAGTTCGGATTTGTTTGATCGATTCCGCAAGTATCTTTATTTTGTGTTATTCAAGAAAGGAGAAAACCCCTAAAAAGTTCGACGTGTGCAACTCTGGTTTTTGGTCCGATTTGGGAGGATTCTCGAATTAGGATCATATCATAGAGGCTACACCTAGGCAACGACGGCCGTGTCTCATGGCGACGATGGTGCGGACTACGATCGACAATGGTAGCGCATGGTCTGGAATCCGAAGAGATTGAGCAATGCCGAACCCAATTAGCCAATACGGATACAGAAGACGAACGAATTGCAAGCTAGCTGCCATTCTGTCTCCCCAAACTGATCCACAGCGACGGAGACAGAGTTGGAGGCCGGAATAACCATCGACTCTCCTGATGATGGCAGCCGTGAATGATGAACCACGGTGGACTCGACCTGGCCTAGGGCGACAGTAGGTGTGAAGAGCTGGACTGCTCAACCGATTTTGGAGATCAGCGGTAAATAACAACGGTTAT